GTCTTAGATTCTGTTCTCAAACTATTCATAGATTTGCTCTTAACTTTTATGTCCGGTAGAATATAACCTGTTAGGTATCCAGAATGTACCTTGGGTGTGCTAATGGTGTGTAAAAATTTTACATTGTAGTTAGTGGCACATAACTGTAACTATTTTCTACACCCTGCAGCAGGCTTGAAGGTAAAAAAAAAAGTTCACTTTATTTCTTAATAAAAGTATATTTTAGTTATCCACTGATTAATCTCTTGTTTATGCGAACTAGACCTAAATTACACTAATAATTTTGTTTATTTAATCTGTTTATTTTTTTGCTGTGTTATCATTATAGGAAGTGTGTATTAGTATTGTATTATGCATTTTGTTAAAAAAAACATTTTGGGCAAAAGAGAAAAATTCCATGTCATTTTTACAAAAATTAACTAAAACTTCCTAAGAGACATTTCAAATAACTATTACATAACAGTTCAGTAAATTATTCTCCAAAAAACTGGAAAGGTTTGTATATCTTTCAGTTCACCAAATAGTGATATTTAGTTATAGGTGGAACATGGTGAGCCAAATCTGCTTCTGGTTTCTTAAATGTCTTTGTTATCTCAACACCAAGCTCTCCTTGTCCTCCTAATATGTATTAACTTGCTCCAACGGCCACATCATCTGCTGTTTTTTCAAAAGATAGATATAATTCGGCAATTTACCTACTAATATTATTCAAATGTAGCTTTTATTGATTAACATTAAAATATATTTTTTAACTTATTGGTCTGTGTGCGTTTTTTTATGTTTATATAAATATAAAAACCTCCATTCATAGATCACTCTGTGAAATCAATAATGAGGGCCTTGCAATAATTAGTCTGTTACTTTACAAATTATTCATATTAATAATCATATTATTCTCATATAAAAGATTAGGACATTTCATTTCTTTCAAGATTTGCAGTTTCTCCTTTTTTTCCTATAAAACTTTATAGAGAGATTTTCTTAAACCTTTTCTCTTCATTCACCTTTATATCTTACAGAAAACATCATTTTCTGACATCAATTCTACTTTCTTCCTAATAATGCTTACCTTTTCTCTCAAACTCCTCTGTTCCAATCTCTCTTGTAATTAATATTCTGCATTTATTATTATTTAATATTGCTATATTTATTGGACTTTTTATACTCTTCTCTCTGTCCTCTTTGCTAAATTAACTTCTTCTCTGCTGCCTTTCTAGAAATCTCTCTCTTAGTATTTTAATACAGCCAAATTTCACATTGCACAGTTCCAACCAAAGGTATAACCTCCATTTTCGCCACAATTTTCGTCAAGGGTCAAAGTGCTCAAATAATGTGCTCTTTAGCAGATATACTAGTTACATGCGGTTTGTCTAAAGCCTCTATTTCTATTTGTATCCTCTCATCCACGTGGATGTATGCTTACACGTTGACGTCACCATGTAACACACCAATGTTCATGAGCAACATTAGCCTGTGACATATTTACATCACGTGTGCACTCCACACATTTTGGTGACAACATTGCTCTATGGAGCCATGTCATGAGCGTCTCCAGCCTCAGAAGACCTCACCATAGAAGTCTATGGGCTGCAATGCTCAGACATGGGCAAGACACTGAAGACTTCAGAAGGTTTGATGTAAGAAAACAGTGGATTCCATATTTATACATCTGTGGTGGGGGGAGGGTGGGCTAGGTTAGGTCAGGGAAGGAGAGCTATAAGGATGAGCACACTTTGTGTTAAAGTGCACTTATCCTTTAGGGATACGCTGCAGTAATGACCATTTAAGTAATTGGGTTATATTTTTTTACATACTACTACTACTAATATTTATAATAAGAAAAGGAATCATTTACTTGAATAATTACAATACCATCATACGATTCTTATAATATCAACAGGATAGAATTTAATGTTTGACTATTGCTCAGTAGACTTTTCTGAGCATTGAATTGTTGCAGAACACGCTTTTTTTCATCAGCTTGCCTCTGTATTTGTTGTGCACCAGTATAAAATGACAGAAAGTCCATGGTCCCATCGCACTCCTGACCGCCAAATCATTTTGAAAAGCGGGTGCTGCGGTAGTCAACGGGTGGCATCCGTTATAATCACAGGTAAAGATAAAGACACCGGCACTCCAAATTCATAAGCAAACGTCTGTTTATTGACGTGCAGCATAGTAAACAGCAACAAACATTTCGGGATCACAGAGGATCCCCTTCCTCAGGCAAAAGCATACCTATGCTTTTGCCTGAGGAAGGGGATCCTCTGTGACCCCGAAAGGGGATCCTTGCCTGAGGAAGGGGATCCTCTGTGACTCTGAAACGTTTGTTGCTGTTTTCTATGCTGCACGTCAATAAATAGACGTTTGCTTATGAATTTAGAGTGCCGGTCTCTTTATCTTTACCTAGTATAAAATTAGACATATTACAGAATAAAGGATAACTAAGGTATGCTAACGTTTTCACAACCCTAAACATAGTGACATGATCTCATGTAAAATGTTCTATAGAGGCTTTCTGCCCATTTCCTCTAGTCATGTCTCTTGAGTACTACTCATTTCCTGCAGAGGAGGATGTGGCCGGGAAGGTGAAAGAGTATGGGCAGAGTGAAGGTGTTTTAGTATGCTATGTAGCAGCATGACCAGTCAGATTATAATTAAATTAGCAAAAGAAAAAATGGTAAAATACTGTACAGCATTGCTTTCTTCAAATCAGCAGTGTTGATATTACATTCATCACATATCCAGGGGGATCATTTCTCACAAACACAGCAGCTCACTATTTAATCATCAGCTTGCCTTGCATGTATTTAGATCTACCAAGTGCTCTACTGTTGTTCTCCGTGTATGACCCTGGCTCTGGCTGTCTGATCTCCTGGTTCCTGACTGCTGCTTTGTTTCCATTCATTCTGCTCTCTGTGTTCTGACCTGGCTTGGCTGACTAGCCACTTTGGCATCTGACATTTGGCTTGGCATCAACAACATTCTGGACTTTCTCCATTGCTTTTTACCATTTTTGTTCATTGTTCAACAAACTGCTTTTATTTTAATCTGCAGTTTAAGTTTATGTCTGGTTTCTTGGTTCCCTATCAATGTGCAGGACTGTCTGTCCTAATAGACAGCCCTGCACATTCCCACATATTTTTGAGCCTAGACAAAAAAGGCAGTTTACCCTTGCAGTGCGGGTGTACGCCACTGCAAGGGCTAGCAAAATGTGTGCCCGAAGTTCTGCTTTAAGACATTCAATGACTATCATTCAATAACTATCAATACTTTGATTATTAATATAAACATTTAAACATTTCAATAATAATCACTTTAGTACAATTAGGGAAGACATGCAATAATTTAATTCCCTTTTTAAGTCTTCTTTGTGCTTCCTGTTTCACTGTTTCCATCATGTTCTTTTTCATCATGTGTTCTAGCCTCTTGCCAAAGGAAGGAACTGTTGTAGTGAAGAACAGTGCTGTCATATACTGATTCCGACTCCAAATCCTCGGTAATGCAATTTTCAAAATTCATTTTTGTTTTAAATATTTAAACTATTACATTTTGTGAAACAAGCGTACAAGGAAGGAGTGTTCCATCATTTTGTAATCATTAAGTATTGTATAGATATACTGAATGAAGTACAATGAACAGGTAGTGACACTTTCAGGCAACACTCCTTTTGGGTAATGCCATGGCTTACATGGCAGGCCTGTAAGTGAACACCTCACCTACAGATACTGTAGGTGTCCTGTAGGGCTGCAACCAACTAATCGATGAATCGATAATAATCGATAATGAGAAAAGTTGTCAACTATTCTCATTATTGAATAGTTGGTTGGATCTCCTAGCTCTCTCCACCATGCTGGGAGGAAAGCACAGCTAGCAGTGGGCAGGTGCAAAAGCCAGCCTGCTATTGGCAAGTGCAATTTGAAAAAGTCAATAGCAGGCTGGCTGTTGCACCAGCCCGCTACCTGCTGTATTTACATTCAGCTCCCATCTGCGGAATCTTGACACTGGCAGCCATCATTTCCTGGCGGAAGCTATTCAAGGGTCAACTGCTTACAATACAATTATTTTTTTTTTAAATATAAAAAGGTGGGGAAAAAGTCATTTTCGGTTTCAGCCTGACAAATTGTGCTGCGGGAGGTTCGTTGCAGTGCCATGAATTTCAATTGTACCCCAAACGCACCTCCCACCCACAATGTGATTGGCCACACGGTACAGCAATCCTGTGCATCCCAGCGCAGTGCGATTGCAAAAAATTGTGCATACAGTTTTATTCTGAAGTAAACTTTATGTTTGTAACATTCCATTTGTGTATTTTATTTTAAATTAAGGATGGGATTTATTTAATTTGTTTTATCTGATTATTCGAAAAAATAAATCGGCCAACTAATTGGTTATGAAAATAATCATTAGTTGCAGCCCTAGTGTCCTGGTCCAGGTTGGTTTAAAGGATAACTGTACCTTTGGGACAAGCTGAGAATTTAATGAAAGAGCAATGCTAATTAACACGCCTATAGTGTTTACAATGCATTCCACAGGCATTTTCAAAGCATTTTCAAGGCTGCTGCAGCCCTGTTCTTGTTTTAACTACTTCCGCGGGCCGCTGTCTATAGACGTATTGCAGCCCGTAAGTGGTTAAAATATTCTAATTCATATTCTGACTGGATATCTTAATTAAAATATATTGAGGGGAATTTATCAAAACTGGGGCAAAAAGAATCTGGAGCAGCTGCCCATGGCAACCAATCAGCGTCTATCTTTCATCTGAAAAGCTTAACTGAACAAACGGAAGAGAGAAGCTGATTGGTTGCCAAGGGTATCTGCTCCATATTCTGTCTGCTGCAATTTTGATAAATCCCCTCATTATGTTTACAAGACGTAATAAAGAAATAGATTGAACATTTTATTCAAGAGTAACTTGTGTAATTTAGAGTATCAATATCCCGCATGAAAACAATGTAATTGCCTTAAAACTACATGCTTCTATTTATTTTTCCTTCCAGGAGAAATGGCCTATAACTTTGGATATACCATGAATTACAGCGGAGACTTATGGGCAGAAGAGACTTTACCCAACTTCTCGGAAATAATTCTTCAAAGCACTGCTCAGCCAACTGATGGAAAGATCTACGTCATGTATCATGGCACTACATTTTCTGCAGCTGTGAGCATCATCAAGAATGGATTTGAACAGTCACCAGATGGCATGCTAGGCGCAGGTGTCTACGTTAGTAGAGATGAAGTCAAAGCTCGACGCTATCCCTTAAAAAATCAAGAAGACCAGGTTGTTTTGAAACTTAGGGTTAATGTAGGTAAAGTCATAAAAATTGACAGACAAAATCACCGTCTGCAAAAAACATGGCATGATTATGGCTATGATACAGCCTGGGTACCTCCAACTTGTGGTATGGTTAAGAGTAACTTAGAGGAAGATTGTGTTTGGGACCCCGAGAGGGTCAAGGTTGTCAATGTAGCCCATGCTGCTCAAGCTGGTGTAGAGCAATATCTTCAACTTTTAATTCAACAGTATGCAAAGTAAGGGTGACATCTTCCAAAAAAAACAAAAACAGGAAGGTATGAAAGAACTCCACTTTCACAAAAAAATATATATAGCATATACAATTGTCATACAAGCCATTTTGAAAATGTATATCATTAAAATGTTCCTTTGCATTTGAATCTGCAGCCATTGTGATTTTATTTAAACTGTGAAAAAATAAAATCTTACTCCCGTGCAATATGGCAGCCTGAGGGTACTTCATAAACTGTATGTATGAATACAGATCTTCCCAGACAAATCACTGCTTTCCCCAGATGTCTGTATTGAGCTACAAATACAGTTGCAGGCATCCCCTGCCAGTTTTGGTAAGATACCTTATAAGTTAAGATATAAGTAAGCTCACACCACTGGAATATACAGGTCTTCTGTCCCACACCAGTGATGACTTACCCTTAACCAAACAACACCAACACACCGTTTAGAACGTTCAAAATGGTCTTTATTGAAACTAGCATTAAGCCCTGGAAAGAGATACACTGGTTAACAGAATTGACAATATAAAAAGCAGTGAGGCAATGCAACAACTCAGCAAAGTAAGCGGGATTGGTGTTCGTTCACTTAAACCGCCAGTGGAAGGCCTCGTCTGAAATGCACTGAGCGAGTGGTGAACGAATCTGTCAGTTACACAACACAGAAATACCGTTCAACAAGTACCAAAGGAAATACATCCTATTTAGCTCCTGTAGGTGCAAGCTAACCACTGGCCAGTGGGAACTCTACACACACAGACTCTGCCAGCATTGGGGCCCTTTAAATTCTGGGGTTGCGTACTCAGCCTTTTGCAAAACAATATTTGTAATCCACGGGATGGAAAGGGGTATCTTCACAAAGTGTCACAGAGGTTAAAACATTAACCTCTTGCCGTCCGCCCGTAGTAGAAAAACGGACGGACTGCACTGTCGACCTAACGGCCCACACCTGAAAAGCGCTACAAAACGGCCCACACCTGAAAAGGTACATGTACTACTTTGGGGCGTTTTTGTTGCGCGTTTCCATTGGGATACAGCCAAGTAGCCCTCGGAAACGCGCGCTTGTTGCGCAATTTTTTTACCGCGAATCGCTGTAAAAAAACGTGCGACAACCGTGCGACAGACGCGCATATGCAATACGCCTAGGTGTGAACCAGGCCTAACAGATACAGTGATCCACCTTCAGATAGAGCTGCATTGGCAGTAAACAGGATCTAGCATGAATAGGCAAGATCAATTCACGCAAAGATGGCAAAAAATCTCTCACCATTCAGATGCACTTTATATACAGTATCTTCCTTGCAGCAATTGGTAGCTTGATAGCTGTCTCAGCTGACTGGATGGCAATGAGTGCACTCAGGCCGTGGAATCCCCCAATCTGGATGATGATGATGGCTGTATAACAGAAATCCGCCTCTAGATGTCACTGCACTGTTAGCACATCTTCAGAGATTAAGCGAAAGGGTAGCATAGCATACTGAAACTCCCCTCTCAAGCCTGCCACACCCTTCATAGGTCTCCACAGGAATCACAGATTCTGGCAGTGCACAAGAGACAGAACACAAGAGACACTTCCCCCTGTATGGCTGCAGCATACCAGTCTGTGTCTCTCCCCGTGTCTCCCTCTCTCAATCTCATGAGCCAGCCCTTGTCGGATGATGGGTGGGGCTAAAATGCCTGGCAGCCAATCACAGCTCTCCTAGGCTGCTATCCAATCAAGTTCCTCCTTGCCTTTGTTGTTAGGGGTGGACTTTCTTCTCAGCTACAGCAGTAACCAATCCAAGAACAATCCTGGAGCTGCAGCCAATATAGTCTCTCCTCCAGCCTCTGTGGGCTGTCAGTCTAGCCAGAGAAATGCAGTGCAGTGTTTCAGAGAGCAATATTCTGCATATGCTACAGGAGCAATACTCTGCCTGTGCTACATCAGGTTTACCCACACCTAAAAGGATTTAGACGCTGCAGATTGCCCTGTTACAGCACTGATGTACAAGTGTTCAGGTGGTTATTGTTATGTAGGAATATCATTTGCAGCCTTGAAGTATGATCGCAGTATGATCGTCCGCACCGCTACACGCTGTACCGTAAATACTGTGCGTTGCAGTGTGATAAAAAAATACTGCATGCACTATTTTTTTTAAATTGCACTGTAATGCACGGTATTTGTAGTATCGCGTGTTGCAGTGTGGCTGAATTCACTGAGGGCGGGAGGTGTATTTCAGGTGCCATTCAAATGAATGGCATGCAATGCACCTCCTGCACCATATTTAAATGGGAGGTGCGTTGTGCGGTACTGTGCATTATTCGCATGGAGATGGAGTGAACGTGCCCTAAGAGAGAATGAGACCTCCTCCCATGAGCAGTACTTGGGCTTAAGGGCCCATTCAAACCATAATTCATCAGTGCACTGAGCTTATAAATATGAAATAAATCAATACAAATTCTCATATATACGTTTTCCACATCAATCATAAACACCTTCTAATATTTCACATATACTGTATGTCAGGCCTCAAAATTTCCACTCGCCCCCTCGCAATTGGTGAGTCAAAATTGCATGGACGAGGGGAATGTCATCGAGGGGGTGCGCCGCTGGCAGGACCAGCGATGGGACACTACCGCCACGGCGATTGCTCACTACTGTTCTCTCTTCTCCTGCTTGGCCGCTGCAACTACAGAGTGGCCGAGGAGGAGAAGAGAGAACAGAAGTGAGCGATCGCCGCGGCGGTAGTGTCCAGACTCAGTGGTGGATGCAGGAGTACATCCCTGCACAGCGGCCGGGACATACAGCTGTCACTGAATTAACTGCGGTTCAGTGTAAAAAACCGGCACAACTACTATGCCGGTTTTTTTACACTGAACAGCAGTAAACTCTGTGACAGCTGTATGTCCCAGCCGCTGTGCATGGATCAAAGGCGTTGCCTCCCCCGTGTGCAACCCCCCCCGCTGATTCCCCATAAAAGTGGCCGCTGCTGCTGCAGCCAAGATCTGCTGTCAGCTCTGCCGCTGCAAGTGGCAAGCGATTGCTCCTCCGCAGCATGTACCTCCGCCCACCTCTGCTGCAATTGGCTTGGAGGGGCAGTGCAGCACTGTCATTGGCTGCCTGGGTACATTCAGCAGAGCGGGAAAGGACCTGCAGAGAGGCATAACAAGGCTGCTGGGGGCTTCATATGGATGATACATCAATGCCCCCCCACCACCACACGGAGAGGAAGAAGAGGGCATGAGGACAGAGCACATCACCACTGTAAGTCCCTTTTCTATCTTACACTGCTGACCTCCGCACTGCGTCATATTAATGACCTCCGGACTCTGCGTCACCTTACTGACCTCTGCACTCTGCGTCACCTTACTGACCTCCGCACTGCGTCACCTTACTGACCTCCGCAGTCTGCATCAGCTTGCTGACCTCAGCACTGCTTCACATTGCTGACATCCGCACTGCTTCACATTGCTGACCACCACACTGCGTCACATTACTGACCTCCGCACTGCATCACATTACTGACCTCCGCACTGCGTCACATTGCTGACCTCCACACTGCATCACATTACTGACCTCCGCACTGCGTCACATTACTGACCTCCGCACTGCGTCACATTGCTGACCTCCGCACTGCGTCACATTGCTGACCTCCGCACTGCGTCACATTGCTGACCTCCGGACTGCTTCACATTGCTGACCTCTGTACTGCTCACCCTCAACTGCTCAATTCGCTAGAGGAAGACCATTCGCATGCCAGGGGGGCGGAACCCTTCGGCGGTGCGATTACATCATAACGTCGTCGCACTGGATGCTGTTATAGCACCCGCGCGGGCCACCGGTCTCACTGTGCGTTGTCAGGGCGGCCGTGCTGATATCGGGGGCTCAGGAAGGTGGGAAGTACTGGAACTCTTCTCTGGTCTTCCTCTAGCGAATTGAGCAGTTAAGAGTGAGTGAATATCTTTGGCCTTCTGGTTTTGCTGACAGTTAGTCAAATACCTTTTCTGACTAGACTACATTATTTTTCATTGATATTTAGCCTTCTCGTATTAGTTGAAGAATTTTCTGAGGCCCCACTTTGGAGCATTGAACATTGCTCTCTTCTTTTTGATTTAAGGCTCTTTTTTCTGATTTGTTGATTTATACCTCCTACTGTTAGGGTGGTGGCCCTCTTTCTTCTCTCCGCCTGAATTGTGGGGTTTTGCCCAGATTGGTCCGCTCGAATGCACACGTGTCAACCTGCTGAATCGGTAGGTGATGTTTCTGCCTGACTCATTCATTTATTATATAATCTTGGGTTTTATACATTATGTTTACGGATTTTTTCCAATCATGCAGACATCTTTCATCTCCTGAGGAAGCGCTTTTTAGTGTGAAACGTTGAGAAACCACATGACTCCTCCACTCCAAATTATGGTCATACTTTGAATCATGTTATATATGTTTTTTTTGTTCAATCATGTATCTTTAACTTCAGTAGTGGAGTGAGAAACCATACGACTCCCCCACTCCTAAATAATTCATTAATCATGGCTACGTTTTGAATCATATTTCATATTTATCATGTATCTTTGATCTTATTATTATGAATGAGTGAGTCTAATAGGAAATATCTGATTAGCTGGTTCCCATCAATTAATTTTATATAAATTGGAAAAACTTTTTAATTACTATTTAATAAATATATTTTTTTACCTTCAATTGCCTTGGAATTGTCATTTTGGTACCTTTAAAACCCCATCTTTTTCTTATCTGTGACTATTACCATTTCTAGGGGTGTGGTACCTAACACTCAGGCCCTGGCCATAAACCAATTGTATGACATATTTTGTTTTATCATTATGATTAATTAGCCCGTAAGAGTTATGGACCTGGAGCCACTAATGTCAAGCTGCATTGGTCTGTGACATGTTGGTCTGATGGTCCTTTAGATTAACAGACCTGGTCCCGCAGTGCGCTTGCACACTCGACCAATCCCGCACACACCCCGGAAGTCCGATTAAGTCACGAGTCCGATGGAATGATA